GTAATCAGGCATTGGAACAGCCTACCCAGAGAGGTGGTGGATTCACCATCCCTGGAGGTTTTTAAGCAGAGATTGGATGTGGCCCTTAGTGCCATGATATAGTAATTGGAGTTGGATCAGGGGTTGGACTTGATGATCTTGGAGGTCTTTTCCAACCCAATCTATTCTATGATTCTATGATTCTATGATAAGCCTTGCTCTTTTGAAACCCCCCAAGAAGGCTGCTCTCCAGCCTCATCAGCGTAATGCCCTCCTTGCTGGGCTAAAGAGAACTCCCAGGACTTGAGCCAGTATTTGAAGAATAAAAGATTTAGCTTCACTTAGCCAGCAATGAGACATCTTTATCAAGTAAGCCTGCTGCTTCCTATGCAGTTAGCCCCTGGCCACAAGAAACCCTTGATCTGTGAGCTCTCACCCTGCGTTGTTTCAGAGTCCCTTGGCAACCCCAAAAGCACTGTTGCAGAATCAGGGCTGCAAGAGGCCTCCAACTGGGCAGTTAGGGAGGAGAAGAACAGAAATAAAATGTAGATTATCCCCTAGATTTGGGAATGATTCCAAGAGAGGAATACAGGCCCCCAGTAAGAAAAATGCCTTGATGGGAGAGACAGGTGAGCATCTCTAGTTCAGGAAGGATGTGATGCACTCAACTACAGCTTTCAGACAAGGATTCTGGAACATTTCAGCAGCCAGGGCTGCCATCTGTGCCCAGTATGCCCTGTCCTCTGTCCCATGCATTTCCAGGAGATAGGTACTTACATACATGAATGGAAAGCAGGTGACTGTACATACCTCCAGAACTCTTCCTGCTATTTTCAGCCTATGGAGAAAGACAGATTCTCTCATTAGAACACAAAGCACATCTGACTCGCACCTTCCCAAAACACACTAAGGCCAGAGGCATCTCATAAAGAATAGGACAGCCCTCCTCCTGCTCTTTGGGAATTGGCATATGAAATGCAGGGAAACCACAGGAATATTTCCAGCTTTAGAGACAGCAGTGAACACAGCCCCTCTAAGCACTGGCCGTGCAGAGCCTTTAGCTCCTGATATCACTCCTATCCCTCCTATCTTACAACAGAGGGGACAGGGCATACACTTTGGAGATGACATTCTTGCCTTCAGGGCTTATAACACTCACCATGGCAGTGTGTCCCAGCCTTCCCGTGACCCAGCAACTCGGTTTATGGCTTGTTCCAATGACCAGTGGGGCAGGACGGAGCCCCCGGGGTCAGGATGGAGCCCGCCGGTCCCGCGGCGGGGAGCTCCCACCGCCTCCGCCGCAGGTGGTGGTGCCACACAAGGTTCCTTGCGCATGTTCCCGGAGTTCCAGGTTGCCATGGCGATGACGCTGCCGCTCCCAGAGTATCATCAGAGACGCCTCCACAGCCCCAGCGCCACGGGCTCTTCCCTCGCCCCGGGACTATCCTCCCTCCCTGAGCTCGGGGAAATATCCCCAACCCTACTCCATGCAGTAAACCACGATCTGGCTCTCATCCTTGGTACCCCTTGGTGTGTGTGGTGGGCCTTCCTGTAGCCCATAACCTCACACTGCAAGTGGGACCCACAGACAAAGCCTCCAAGAGCATCCCTGCCTGAACAAGGGGACATCCAGGAAGCAGGAGCAGATAAGGAGAGGATGGGCACACCAGTGAGCCAGAGCCTGGCTCCTCCCATGCAGAGATGGGGTGGGAGAGGGACTACCCCAGTGGTCTGAGGATGTTGTCCATGAACATGAGACAAGCTGTAAGGATACATCTGTCCTTGCTTCTGCTATCGCTCCTCTATCGCCCATGAAGCTATAGCCTCAGCCCAGTGGCTCTGCTCTCCGTGGAGCTGGAAGAGAAAATAGGGCTACTTGGGTTCAAATGGTATTTATATTACTTCATAAGCATCTAGCTAATATAAAATAAATGGTAGCACTATTAAATTTTTATGCAGAGGGCAAAATGCTTTACCCCTCCCTGAAGAAACATTTGCAACCTTTTCTTTTTGACAACATTTTAACTTTAGCCAGTCCAATCAGAAAAACTGTTGTTACAGAAACATTTTGTTTTGTGGGATAATATACCTGGGCAATTTCTCACATCAGGAAAAATCTTCATCTCTAAACATGTTTTCTCTGAAAGAATTTCATCCAAAATAATGTTTGCAAATGCTTACATAACCAATTTCTATATCAGTGTTTTTCCATATCTCTTTTTTCCCCTACCACTGTTGGATTTTTTTTACTGTTTGGGCAAATTACAATTTCTAAGCAAATTATGACAATCATGAACTAAAAGGAAGGTGACTCCTTAGTTAAGCCTACCAAAACTAAGAAACCCCTTGTGTCTACATATATTTTTCTCTTTTACAGTTTTTACCTTCGCTCTTGTTCACTGCTTTGATGAAATGACTACTCATGTTCATTTCATGGCAATTCCCTTTCATTTCAGAAACAACGAGGAAATAATTTCAGCTCTTACTGGAGAATCTGGAAGTTCTATATTTCCTTGGTCATTTTTATCACGAATTCCTTTATCTACATAAACATTTGAAACTCATCAGAGAAATTTCATTCTTACGAAAGACTACACAGCAGAGCAGGACAATCAACTTAGATGGTGCCACTCTAAAAAGGGTTTTAAAGTATTAGTCTAATTGCTTTCAAAAGTGTAAATTAAGCTTTAATGGTCAGAGTAATAGAGATCAATATTCCCAGTGGAATTACAACAGGGATTATACTGCCTGTTGATCTGAACTATTTAATGAACTCTTCTGCAGGTTTCCTCAGAGTTGCACTGCTCAATGTGGAACACGGGCAGTGAAATGGTGGTGACAACTGAATGCGCTGCTGGGTGCAGTATATACTAGGTACTCTACACATCTTGTATGTGGTCAGAGACTAGTGAATCCTGCCAGAAGGTACAATGTTAGAAGGAATGCTGAAGGACCATTCCTAACCCAGAAGAACATACATGCAAAAGTATAAGTTCAGAAGAAACTGAGGAGTTAATGAAAATGAACACAGTTAAATTCCATACCTGTGTACCTTGGCCAATCTCATCCTGGTGCAGTCTATCTGTCAGGATTGTTCCATTTTCTGCTCCAGCCACTCCTCCCTCAGCTTCTCTTGGCTATGGAATTCCACCCATTCAACCTTCATATTCCTTCACTCATCTGAGCACTTCTACAGCATCTCCTCTTGCTCCTCCATCAAAGTGTTCTGGAAAGCATGGCAAGAGAGGCAGAGAAGAAGCCCTAAGTCCCATCTGCCAGGGGATTTTTCTGTGTGCTAGAAGGATTGCAATTCCCCACATGAGCAGGTGTGGGATGAAAAAAAGAGAGGCCAGATGAAGGAGGCTGCAGCACAGCATCCAGCTCTTTCTGTCATCACATGCTGCAGTGCAGTGCTGCACACACTGACAGCACACGTGAAAAGCACCTGGCCATGTCCAACTGACCTCACCTTCACCCTCTCCAGCTCTTCTCACTCCGTGGAGAGCTCCTGCCTCATGAATTGTCACTGCTCCTTCAGTAAGTGCAGAGAAACAGAATTCACAGAAAAACTACACTAGCTTGTGCTCACCACCTCTGCAAATCCACAGGACACAGTTTTTTCAAGCGGATACCCTGAGATGCTGGGTGGCCAAAGCAAGCAAGGCTTTGCCGGTCTCAGCTGGACTAACTTTATACAATGAACTCATTAGGAGAGATGAGGGTCTGCACTGTGACTGTTCTTGTCTATCATTCCATTATTCTATTACTGGAATGAATGCCACTTTGATGAAACATACCCTCGAGCTGCTTATCCTGCTCCTGGGACATGAGACGCTTCTGTGCCACCAGGGCTGTGTCCTGGCTGTGTGACAGGAGCTAAGCTGCTGGCTGCTTTTTCTTATGCCACAGCCTCAGCCCCTGCTGCCACATAAGTTGGCACTAGTTTTCCCTTCTCATTTATGGGGTAGATATGCTGATCCTGGTCTTTCTTTTCTGACCTATGCCCTTATAGATTCCCTTATTGTTTTCACATCCCTGGCCAACTCCTGTTACATCTGCGACTTAAAGTTTTAAACAATATATTTACAGGAAGAACTTCTATAAAAACTCTTCATAGTTTCAAAAGCTTTAAAGAGATTAGGTGTAACTCAAGGAATAAGGTTCATTTGCAGCTCAAATCCCTTTCAACAGAGTTGCAGTACTGCCTGTTACACTCTTCTGGAGTTTATTCAACTATGCCTTGCTTGTGTCAGGTAATTGAAAGTTAACAGCACAGATTATTTAACCAAGTGGCCAGCACCACATGTCTTGCAAAGAAATAAGAAAGGCTATTTGATGTTGTAGCAATGACATTTGATTAGACTTTCCCGCTTCAAAGTTTTGGTAACACTCAAATAGGTAACAATAACATTAGGTTCTTGGTTTCTTTGAATTTCATTGAACAACAGTTGAGAATTTGAACATCCATATCAAGCAATGAATACAATAAGTCCACTTTGTTAAATGCCAGGAAAAATTGAGACCTGGTGAATAATACCTTGTTATTGTTCACAATTGCTACCATTAGAGATGGCGTCTGCTTTTTTTTTGGTTTGTTTTAATTTAATTTTCTGTATGAGATTAATGCTGGCTTTAAATTTCCAATTTTCAACAAGAGCGAACTTCAAACCTAGAGTTTTACAGCTGCAATTTATTAAGAACAGGCATTTTAAAGTTACAGTATTGAAAGATCAGCAGTGAATTATGGTGCAGCCTGCACATTAAACCACCAGGTTATGCAACAAATTTACAGGTAACCTGCAACCTAAAATATTAAAATCTTAGTGCTTTGGAGATTACATTAATTACAATCACTCTAAGAATGCAATAATTAAACTGTTTTACAGTAGCCACTAAGGTCAGTTTATACAAGTAATTTTTTACCTGCTACAAAACTCCATGAATATATGAACTCATCACCAACCTGTATTTTATGCTCAAAGTTGTGTCGTTTTGGAAGGGAAACAATAGTATTGGTGGACTTGTGACAGAATGAAGTTCCATTGCTGCAGTTAGAGATGTTCTTGCACGGGATTTCATCAGAAGGCAATATACAGCCATAAATGCTGATGGCCCTTTGTTATAGCTGAAAATCAATCCTGTCAACACAAAAAACTGCTGTGATAACACGGATGTTACTGGAATGCTGCCAAAGCTGCACAATTTGTATGTTGTAAGGTGTTTCCAAAAGTGCAAAGCCAATGTGGGAGTACAAGCTGGGCTGCAACTCTACCCCGCAGCGCTAGTTCAAGTAAGTACCCCAGCTCTGCTGGAATGTTGAGCTGTGGGAAAAGACAGAAAAAACACAAAAGGAAGTAAAAGAAACCTGGGTTTTGATTCTTAATAATAAACTAAGTATTAGCTGGTGCTTTGTAAATAGAAAGACAACACCAAACAAGGAAATAAGTTTATTTGTAAGTTTTTTAAAGGTAATAGTTTGAGTGAACACTGTAAAACACATCCATGAATATTTATTTTGTTTTCAAACTTACAGAGTTCAAGTATGCCTGTAGAAGTGTATCAAGAAAAAATATTTTACAGCATTTATGGCAAAAGATTTGAGCAAATCAGCGCTAAAATTTGCATTTATTAATATTTGAATTGGATACCTAAATCTGAGGATAAATAGTTATCAATCAGCAAAAATAGTTTCCTTACATGTCCAATTAAAACATTTCACATTACCGAAAGTGGACATTAACAAAGGGGGTTTTTAGAGGAAACCGAAGTGCTTTTTGTTTTTTTGGTTTTAATTATAATAATAACATCTTGCAATTAAGACCTGACCTGTCTAATTCCAGGCACTGTACACTGTACCTTGGAGTGAATCTCTGTCTGTAGAAGCTTAAGACTAATGGGATTGATTGCATTGAAAATGCGACTTCAGAACTCTGTATTAGTTTAGAATTAATAGTACATTCTGCATACCATCACCTCTTCCGTTTCTTTCCTACTACAGCAATATCTATGGACATCAGGCATTATGAAAATATTTGCACATATAATTAGTTATACACAGAAATCAGAAATTTATTACTTTACTTAAATGTTCAAGCAGTTTTCTTCACTTCATAGCTCCTCAAAATCATAGTTTTCAATTTACATTTCTAATACATTAATCTCTTGCTGTCCCACCAAATTGGAACTCCTGGTCTTATGGTGGGCTGATCCCTTTTCGCTAATGAAAAATTTCTCACTGACATGTATCTGAATTGTAAGATAACCAACTAGAAAAACACTTGAAACAAAGAAAATTTTAATTTTCTATATACCTGTGCCAAGTGTGTAGGTGATAAACAGGAAGAAATAGAACTA